GTGTCGGTGGTGCTGACCCGCCTGTCTTGTGTGCGCAGGGTTCTGTGAAGGCCGGCGCGGGTGACTCCTGGATGAACCCCATCTCCAGACAGTTCTCCAACATGGGCCTGCTGGTAAGGGGCGGAGCGCGGGCTGGGCCGAACGCGCCGCCATCGCTGCAGCTGCTGGTATTGTGTGCGGGCGGGGTGGTGAATATTGAATCCGATCAGTGGCACACGGGTGAGAGTGAAATGCTTCCGAAACGTCGGATCACGAGTGTAAGCTCAACGCTTCCCTCCTGCTCTGCCCCCTTTCCTCTGGCTCGGCGATGAAGGCTGACCGTTGGGGCGCCCTCATGAATAAACGGCGACTAGAGTGCACTACGTATCTCATTTAAATGCTCGTTGTGTCTTGAGTGTAGTTGTGTAAGGGTAGGTTAGACCCATAAAAGGCGCAGAACCGGAGCCTCTTCACTGTGTTGCTCTGCGCTGTGCGCTGTGGGTGTCGACTCTGATGTTGACGTCGTGTTTAGACCCATAATTCCCGGTTCATTCCCGGGGCTGGGCCGGGGGGGGGTTTTCACAGCGGCCCCGTCGTCCCTCCCTGAGTAACCGCGTGTCTGTCCCCCCCCCCCCAGGGCGACGACGGCGCCGGCGGGAGGCCCGTGGACCTGGCGCCCGGCCCGCCCGCCCAGGAGAAGAAGCCGGAGGTGAAGGAGCGCGGGATGAGCCTGAGCGACTTCAACGGGGAGCTGCGGAAAGGGGGCAGGGGGGGAGTCTTCCGATCGCCCGGTTCCAAAGAGGTGGGGTCTGGCGAGGCCGGGCCTTACTACGACAAGGTGGGTACCCCCCACAAAAGGCACCTCACTTCAGAGGGGTGGGTCAGAACCCCACTCCGCTTCGCGAGTGTGAGCCAGGATCTTGTTGTACCGAAATCCAGTCCGTTCTGCTGCGAGAGACGTGTGAGCCCGTTCCAGACCCCGTGTGATTGTACCGCCGTCCGCGTCGTGATTAAATTGGGGGTCGCGACGTACTCGGCCTCTTTAGACGTCAGAACTGGTGTCCTCGGCATCCTGATCGGAATCTGGACTAACTCTTTGGCTAACTACAAGTAATTTGTCTGTCTCGTTGTGCTTCTCTCTCTCTCTGTCTCTCACACACTTTAACTCTTGTCTTTCCCTGTATCCTTCTCCCTTCCTCCCTTGTGTCTCTTCTGCCTCCATCTCTCTCTCTCTCGGGTGATCTGGCTCGGCTAACCTTTAACTGTTCCCCGTCCGACCCGATTGGCTGCCTCTGCGAGCAGCTGACCTTGCCTTTCTCCAATCAGGATGGGTGCCTTGGGGAGGAGGGGCCTTGCTCTCCATTTTCCCCACCCACTGGTTTCAAGCTCCCCCACTCGGGGGCGCCAGGCCCTGCCCCTCACTACAACCACCCTGCCCCCCCTAGACAAGTAAGACTATCGCCTTTTCTCACTCTTTTTTCCCAACCTCTTCCTCTCCCTCTCTGCTTTCTGCCCCTCTCTGTCCTGATGTAAGTAGTGGCCCTGATTCCATTTAATTTTCCCTGTTACTTTCTCACATTTTTTCTCCATCCCCACTCGGCTTCGTTTCTCCAAACAGTTCTGACGCCTTCCCTCTCGATGTCTCTCATGTTCTCTGTGAAACCCAGGCCCACCCTCCACTTACTAAGGCTTTCTCCTTGTTGGTCCTCTGCCTGCGCATTTTAGTGTACCGCAACGTGGGCTCTGTCAGTCTCTTTGTGTTCACGTTCCCTTCTCTGTCTGTCTGTGCCTTTCTGTTGTCAGACGGGCAGTCACGGCGTGTTTGGTGGCGGCGGTGGGATGGCGCAGTCTCGAGGCGTCCACCAGGCCGGGGTGCCGCCCATAAACCCGTCCCCAGGGATACGAGCGCAAGTGCCTCATCAGTTCCTGCCGCCTCAGGTGCGTCGTCTGCAGAGTCAATCTTTGGCTTTTATGTTTGTGACGTTTCCTGGGACTCGGGGCATCTGGTGTTTCCGTCTGTGTATAATCTGCGTCATAATACGAGTTTTGTAAGCATTTCCATCCATTCTAAACAGTAAAAATACAAAAATATTTTACAGGCCCCTGTAACCCCTGCTTCACTTACAGGGCGCGGTCTTGATTTGACACTGGATCAATACTGGTTTTGCAGTCAGTCTTGGAATTTAACAGGGAGCCAGTGCAAGGAAGCCAGGACGGGAGTAATGTGGTGTGCGATGCGTGTGTGTAACAGGCGTGTAGCGTGTAACGCCCCCCATGCGTCCTCTTGTGTGCAGGTGCCGGGCTCGGTGCTGAAGCAGATGCCCCCCAGTGGCAGCCTGGGTGGGGGGATGTTCGGGGTGGGACCCCAACTCTCCCCTCAGCACCTGGCCATGCTCAGCCAGTTGCCGCAGATCCAGCAGTTCCACCTGGTAACGACGTCTCTCTATCTAGTGTCTATAAAGCCCCCCGGTCCCAGTCCTCTTTGCCTCTGTGCTGTGCTAATGTGCACTAATTAACGACAGTTTAATAATGAGCTACGTTCTTTGTTTTGGCAATCTGTTGAAACTCCTCCTTGTCGGCCCAACCCCTGTCTCTCCCGCCTCGCACCCAGGCCTGTCAGCTCCTGTTACAGCAGCAGCAACAGCAGCAGCAGCAGCAGCAGCAGCAACAGCAGCAGCAGCAGCTCCTGCAGAACCAGAGGAAATTCCCTCAGAACCTCCGGCAGCAGCCTGACCCCCAGCAGGTCGGTACCGCTCTCTCTCGACCGGCCTCTCTCCCTCCTAGAGCCGGCCGGCCCCCAGGCAGTCTCTCTCTTGGAGCAGCCCGGCTCGAACACTACAGCGGGTGTTGAGGTGGCTGCTCAGGAGAGTGATCTGTGTGCATCGGGGCAGCACGCATTCTGGAAATTGGGGTTTAACCCCAAGAGGCAGGCCGCTGAGCCCCCCGAGCTGGTCTGTTGTCCAGTTCTGCTGTGCGTCTCTGTCAGTCCTGCCCTGACGCCTCCCCCCCTCTCTCCACCAGCTGGCCCGGATGATGGCTGTGCTCCAGCAGCAGAGGCAGCAGCAGGGAGGTGGGGGCTCCAAGCTGTCTCCCTCTCATCTGGGGGGCACCCCCAAACCCCACCTTGCTGATCCTCTACCCCACCCCAGCCTAGGCGCCTCCCTGGCAGACCTGCATCCCAAAACGCAGGGAGGGTACACCGGTGAGTCTGTCTGCGGTGGGCTGGACTGTGTCCATGTTATTAATAACCTTCTCTCCTTGTGTGCAGTGTGCAGTGTCCAGTCAGTGTGTCTGTATGAACCCCTCTCTCTC